GCTCACACCTGGCTATAAGATTATTTTTTTTTGTGAGAAGTCTATTATTTAATAAGAGATAGAGAAAATTTTAAATTTTTGGGGGGAGCATGAGCTTCCAAAAATTAATTTGATAGTTGGCAGTAAAACACTCACCACTATTAAACCGACACTCCTCTTCATAAGCTGTTTTAACCGATAAGTTACCATCCAGGGTGAATTTCCAAACTTTCATCTTCATAGTCCCCATGAGGAATTAATATAGGCTGGATACACTACCAAGCCTGGTAAGTGGCAATAGGCTTAATAAGATCCTCTTTCCACACTCTCCTTTCAAGGTCCATTACCAGCCCATGAATCCAACTAGAAATTTACATTTTTTTCCATTGTCGATGCTCCACATAGAACCCCTTTTAATAAGCTCTCTTGAAGTTAAAATGTCTTTCCAAGCTCAAGAAGAGCTATTCTTTTTTTGTATCCCATAAATTGTTGTTATTAAGGTATTTATTAGTCATAACCTCGACCCAAAGATTGTCATGGCAATTTAAAATTTTCCACCCCATTTTTTGGGAGAGCAAACCCTACTCTACCTGACAAGATGAATGAGGTTTTGACTCTTTTCATTCGATCAAATAAAGTTCCTTTGGTCTTTTTCTAAATCAGCGACCACACTACTTGGAATTTTAAAAGCTTGCATAAAAAATTGAGGAATCATTGAGGCAGAAGAATTAATTAAAGTTAATCTCCCATCTAGAGAGAGAATATTTTTCCAACCTGCTAGTTTATTATTCATTTTTTCTTTCAAGAGTTTGAAAGCATCCTTTCTCACTCTACCCTCAATAATGGGAGCACCAAGATAGGTTGTATTCCTATTCCCAATTGGGATTTTAAGAATTCTGGCCATAATTTTCTAATGCCTATTGGGGATGTTTTGGAAAAGGAAATGGTCGATTTAAAATGATTGGGAAATTGACTAGATGCTTTTGCAAACTTGTCCAAGATTTCACTGATTTTAATACGAGCATTAATAGAGGCTTTAGCAAAAATGTTACAATCATCCGCAAACTGAAGAATTGGAATTTTCGAACCTCCCTTAGAGGCTTTACAACCAATATCACTCTTGCCACCCACAACCTCATTATGAAAATTACTTGCAAGGGATTTAGCACAAAGGACAAAAATATACGGGGAGAGGGGATCACCCTGCCAAATACCCCTACTAGCCCTAATGGTACGAGTAGGAGATCCATTTAAGAGAATCTAAAGAGAAATTGAAGTGATGCACTCCATCACCCACCATTCAGACACATGGCATTTTTTGAGAAGTTGCTATTAAAGCCCACAACCCACTACCACCATTAAGACAAGTGGCCTTATCATTTTCTAGAAAGCTAGACACGTGGCAATTTTTGAAAAATCTCTACTAAAGCCAACAACCCACTACCAGGTTATTGCTCCTCACCATTCAGACACATGGCCTTTTCATTTTTTTGGAAAGCTAGACATGTGACATTTTCTGAGAAGTTGCTGTTAAAGCCCACAACCCACCCATTACCACAATTTTCAATCCATTCCTAAAAAATGCAGAAAATACAAAAGTGGTTATCCACAACCACTTCTGCCTACATTCTATCAATATCAGTTAATCATTAACCATTTGCGTATCATAACAAAAGCAAACTATCCATATTCTAATAATTATTGAAAAACTATTTTTTGAAATAAATATTTCATGAAGTTTTAATAATTATTTAAAATATTAATTGATATAAATTTAACAGTATTGATTCCATAATATAAATTTAACATTATTGATTCCCCATACTTAATATGTGGTCATTCACTAGTTTTCAACAGCACTTGTACCTAGACATTTAGTGTCTCTAATAATTGATGTCTGATGTATTCCCACCATCGCCATTCCCCACCACTAATAATGAGATTTTAGAAACCAAGTGATATAAAATTATATTGTCATAATATGAAATATTGGAAAAAAACTGATGACTGATGAATAAACTTGTATTTCAAATTAAAGAGACAAAATGAGGGAAAAAAATTGTGTCACTCTCTTTTTTTATGATATCTTCTAAAGGGCTACACAACGGGGTAACCCATCACCCAAACCCATAACTCCCAACCCAGGTGCAAATGGGATTTGATCCCAAATCTCTGCTAGGAGACCTTACCAACCAACTGGTTGGCACATTGCAAACAAAATATACTAGTTAAAAGTTAAAATGTCCTTATATTGATATATACGGGCGCCTTAAATAAATAATAAAATATATTTTTTGGTGGGTATGAGGAATTCTGAAATGAAGAGTGAAGACTCGAGATGCACTGTTGGTACATTGTTTAGTTTGGTTTGTAAGAAAAGAAAGAGCTTCCCTTTCATCTCACAATTTTGGCTGCGTTTGAAACGATGCAAATGGAGTGTAAATCCCGGTTCAGGGTAAATTTGCACTTTGGTTCACTTTGACTTTGTCTGGCAACATTACATTTATGCATTGGCAAATGACAAAAAACACATTTTCCAATGCATATTTACATTGATAATTAAACGTAAAAGTACATCAATAAAAAAGAAGTAAATTTACATTCAAGTGGGCTTTTGATAAAAAAAGGCATGTTTTATTCAGAATTCGTGTTTGCATCGAGTGCAGCTAAAGTATGTTAGATAAGAAGGTAAATTTGTCAATGCAAAACTAACCCAACTTTGTAATTTATATTGGACCGTTTTATACTCTTTTCCAAACACAGCCTTTCTTTTCATCCATTCCATACAATCTCTGAAAAATTTGCACTTGGGCTTTTAGGAAAATGATGTCATGTCTTTGAACAAGCATTAACTTTCATCTCTTGGCATCTTGGAGGAATCAGATTCTTTAGAGTATCCAATTTTTCTGAAGTCTGAAATACCCATTTGTACTCATCCTCCATTAGTAACATTTCTCAAACAGTTCTGAGCTCCTTAGAGATAGATGACTATGTTAACAACATTTCTCATTCTTCCTTTGAATTGCTGGCTTTTCATCCTTTCAACAAAGGGAAGAGTAATAAAGAACCAAGTATCCTGTAAATACGATGGCATCGATTCTCCAAACAATTGGTAATTTGGTATATCTAAACCAGTGACAGTTAAAACTTAAAACAGTAACTAAAAATGGTCCAGATTAGAGTAACTTAAAAACCAAAGTTCTATAAGATGATCAAGTGCCGCTGCAGTGTTGAGTGCTCGAGCTCTGCTTCAGCATTGCCCTTGAACATCTTCTATCCCTTTTTTTATTCCTTTTTCCTCCTTTTATTTCTATTCTTCCCTTTCATCTTTTCTTCCCTTCATTGATCATATAATCATCTTTTACGTAAGGGCAAATATGGCAATTTATCATTTAAGGCTCCTTGTGTCTCGATAATTGATTTACCTGGATAAATGCACTTATCTGGTCAAATATTTCTTGATAAATACTTTTTTACGAATAAGAGCACTTAGTGGTAAAATAACCAATTTATCCAAAAAAGTGACTATTGAAGAACAATATTATTCCATCACGTATTAACCATTTTTGGCACATATATTAATAAGTAATTTATCCAAATCCAAGGAGAGTATTACATTACTTCCTTAGATAAATTAGTTGTTTGAGAATCATTCTTGATGGAGGACGATTTGACCTGACTTATGAAACGGTGACACGTAGACACTGACTCAACACGAGCGACAGCTCAGCATTGTAGCCTAGTGCGACCAAGTGATGGGCCCATAAAATAGCTCGCTACATTGTAGCTCACAAAAGGAGCAGCTCGCCACAACGCGAGCTCCGGGTTCCCCTAGCTACCTTTGAAGGGACACTCCGAGGCAGCTTTAGCTAGCGAGCTGGGGGAATTAGCTCGCCCGAGCTCCCAAGCAGACAAGTCATCCCAAGGACCAATTCTATTAAGGGTAATCCTGAAGTATTCCGAGCTCGCTACAAAGTAGCTCGCGAATGAGCCGCGTGAGCACTCCTCCGGAAGCTCCTATCTGACAGGCCGTACCAATCAGACTGCGCCACGTCCCTTACTGACGGCGTAGTCCCTGTCCTTTCGACAGTCCACGTCTACGTCTCTCAGCAGGTGGAGGCGTGCCTGCCATTTTGGAGACGTGTCACTCACCCGGGCGAGGCATACGCCACAACGGCCACCTGCGCAGCCCTGGCAGGTAATGGCTGTGGCAGGAGCCCAGTGGGTTATGCCCGACCTGACGTGAATGCCCCTATAAAAGCCCTCAGGGCAGAAGAGAAACTTCTAATCTCTCGAGTATAGTGGTATCTTCCAGGAGCCACGTGAGTGCCAGTTAGGAGTGACCGGATCGCGCTACATCAATTCTTATCTGCAAAACCCTCTAATATTAGATCAGAAAACAAACCTAAATTTATTTCTTTTCCGTGAAACCTACTAATTATCCAATGCCTAAAACTTAACAATGATAGTGATGTTTGGCATCGATGCTCTTTTATGAGAAAACGGCGCCATGTAGGTGCCACATCAGAGAAAGTGGTGCTTCAAACAACACCCTCTTGTTTGGTACCGTTTTTCCAAAAAAAAAAAAACGTTGCTCTATACCATGCTTTAGAAATTGGGAAAGTATGATTTGGAGCAATGCTAAATTCAATATTTTCTGAGAAAATGATGCATTACTGCTAGTAGTGCAATAGTGTGGCATCTTCCTAAACTTTGGATAATATAGATAAATGTTAAAAATATTACTAGTAGCATTATTATCAAACAAAACCAATACTATTTTATTAAAAAATGCGTATATGGCAACACCAATTACAAACAAAAAATACAATTCCATATGACTAACACCTACGATGTCAATTTCCAAAGGTGAGTTGTCCATTTCTTAAAAGTTAAAACTTATTATTAGGGTACTTTAGGGAGTTCCTCTTTTGTAATTTTAATTTTTAACCTGGCCAAATCGAAGTAGATATTTTTTTTTTTTTTTTTTTGTCTTTGGTTAGATAATGCTTCCCCCACCTCCGGTCCGCGCTCCTCCCACGGTGAGCTTTTGTAGTTCGAACTTCGAACACTATTCATACCATGAGACTTTCAACCTCACGCAGAGGTCGAAAAGTAAAATATGGAGACCCTCTCAAGAGTTTTGTCCTTTAACAGCATTAACTCTGCAGAGCTAACCAATTCAATTCCATTCCTCATTCGAAGAACACCTCCGTTTCATCGTGTTCGTACCCGTTCAAGCAGAACTTCAGGAACTCTAGCTTTTAGAAGCTCTCTCCGAGGTATTTCTTAACTTCCATTACCGGTTTTGAAACAATAAGGAAATTGGGTTCATCTTATTCTGTATGAGCTTCGTTTTCCGTAATTCGAGTTCAGGAACTCTTCTTCTACCGTTGCCAAATTTGGATTTTCTTATTGATTGGATGAAGAACTCATTGTGTAGTTAAATCGACATTGTACTGTTTCATAACTTTAAGATCACATGCGTGATGGGACGGGGTCTCCGTTCTTTTAAAGCAAATGAAAAGCACTCAAATTCTTCAGGAAATGCAGAATTCCAATTCCCAATTCGGTATTCGGCTTATTTTCCCCCCTATGTGCATGTATTTAGTTATAATTGCTATAATTTGAACAGTGAAGTGGATGAAGAATTTGGAAATGTATAAGGTTTTTCTCCGATCACTATTGTAGTTATAAGTTGTTTATCTGTGTACAACTTAATGGCTGTTCGGTAATATACAAGATTTTGTTTTCTTAAAACAAAAACAAAAGCAACATCTAAAAAAAACAATTGTTTTTATGAAACAACAATTGTATTTGTTTTTATTTTTTCCTGTAAATCATAGAAGATAGAACACCCCCTTAATTTGGGTAGTCTTTCGAAAACATGATGTCTTCTTTGTTTGCACTCCACAAACAAGAGGATCTTGAGTCCTGCTTGCTTTGGTCCTAAAATAGATTTTAGTTTACTTGCTGTTTTTTTTTTTTGTACAGATTTGATTTGTTACTTTTTCTTTCACTTTCCTTTGAAACATGAAGCTTGGGAGCTTAAGCTCAGGGTTTTTAAAGGGCCTATGCCAATTATTATCCACCGAAATAATTACACTCGACAATATTTATCACCACCATGGTTCACAATTTTGATATCAGTGGACATTTCACCATGAAGAGATGACAAAATTTCGCCAGTTTCGCTAAGATATTTGGAAAATCTAAAAAATTTAGGTAAAATTTCTAGAAACATGGAATTAATTATTAAACCTTCAAGGAATCATTAGGATAAATATAATTGCACATTTAACTTTTTTTTTTTGGTATTGAATCACAACCTTGTGCCCTACTGTTTAGAAGTTGACTCAAAGTACCCCAAGTTTTCTGAGAATTGACTAAATCCTCCTACTGTTAGCTCCATTAATGGAAAGATGAAAAGAAGACTACTTTACCTTATTCTCAAAAAAAAAAAGAAAAAGAATAGTAGTACAAGCTGAATGGAAAAATCGAGAATTCATTTCTCACATCTCTCTCAATGTCCATCGTCTCCTTGAGTTCTTCATCCAATTCAGTTTTGCTGCAACAAAGCATGGAGATGGAGAGAGAAGTAATTCATTAATATCAAAAGCCAAAATACAAATGAGCCTCTGTACAATGAGAAACTGTACAGCAGGAAAGCCGATATCCACAAATTTCCAGTCTTCCAAAAACAAAAAAGACTAGATTCCTTACAAATAGGAAGTCTGAATCAAAAAAGGACATATGCCTATTTTTGAATAGGTGATTAACTGCCAACCAGGAGTGTATCATCCCCAAAATTCTGTTAAAAACTTCTTCTTTCGGAGTTTGTCTTCCTTCAAATAACCTGTTATTTCATTCACCCCATACTGCCCAAAAAGCTGCAGCAGGAAGGATACTCCAAGCTACCTTTCCAGCCCTGGGTAAACCTTCAAGTGTCCAAGCTGCTATAAATCCCTTCACATCACCAGAGAAGCACATCTTAACCCCAAACAAATTCAGCACCTTCATCCAAATCCAATGGGTAAAGTCACAGTGAATCAGCAAATAACTAGAAGATTCCACATTTGCCCCACATAAGATGCAGCCCAAATCCTCCACCTCTAAACCTCTTCTAACTAAAATATCTTTTGTTAAAATCTTGTTCAACACTGCTGAGTGTTGACCAAACAAAGAAAGCCAATTTAGAGGGAACAGATCTGCTCCAGATTTTGTCACTTGGGGAGTCACAAGGCTCCTCCCTAGACAAGCTATGGGAGAAGGATTTCACAGAGAAGGTGCCAGATTTCTCAAAGAGCCATTTCCTCTTGTCCTCTCCTACTCCCTTTATCTTTGCTTCTTCCAATACTTGAAATAACCTTACCAAAGAAACCTACTCCCAATCATTTAGATTCCTCCTGAATTGAGGGTTCCAGATACATTGACCATTGTCTTTCCAAGCAATCAGCCACAAGTGCATCCTTGTTTACTGAGATCTGAAATAGATCAGGAAACATATTCATTAAGGGACCCTCACCACACCAGAAATCCTCCCAAAACAGCACCCTGAGGCCATTTCCAACTTCATATTTGATTCCTTTCATAAACTGATGTTGGACTTTTTGAATTGCCTTCCATATAGAGAACCCATAGGATGTTCTGACTTCTTCCGTATCCCACTCTCTTCTCCTCGACCCATATTTGGCCACTATTAATCTTCTCCATAGACTATTTGATTGTTCATTAAATCTCTATAACCACTTCCCCCGCATGGGTGTGCTGATATTTTTCACAGGCCTGATCCCTAAATCCCCATTCTTATTGGAACTGCAGATCCTTCCCCAGTTGACTAGATGACATTTTGGCTCTTCCTTCCAACCCCTCCAGAGAAAATCCCTCATATTCTTTTCTAACACAGCTGCCCACCTGGCCGGAATTGGAAATAGAGACAAGTAGAAAACAGGCAGGGACGATAATACACTTCTGATTAGAGTTACTTTGCCCCCTTTGGATAAATATTTAGTTTTCCACAAAGCCATTTTTCTGTTCACTTTCTCTATGATTGGGTCCCAAATAGCTTGTACTACTATTCTGACATTAACTGCATTCGTGATTCCTTCAGCTCTCACCATTTCTTCCCCTCACTTGTACTGGAAACAGAAAGAAAAAATAGCAATACAAAGATAAAACTACAAACATCAAAGCATGGCTGTTAAATTGCATGGCTTCTCTTGAAATTCCTCATTTGTCTCTTTTCTGTTTGCTGTGTTTCCTGATTTCCTCCGTGTTCTTTTGTTTCTTTTTCCCTTGACATTGCTTGTCTTCCCTTTTGTTTTTCTTAATTGTGATGATATATCTTTTCCATTAAAGAATCAAATACTGAATCTTCACGAAATTTGAGAAACATACATGTAATTCTAGGGTTTGACTTGTTCTTCAAACAAATTGTTATTGCCTTCAGAGGTGTCCTAAAAGAGTTTTCTTTGGGTTTGTGCACTTACCATGCAAGCAGGTGTCTTCGAAGATTATAGAAATTTCTGTTCACTTCAAGTTAGATTACTATGAATGACAGTTTGCTTCAGGTTAGAGTCATGTGCTGGTATAAATATCCAAAAAATTCCTTCTTGGGCATCGGGGGAGGGGGGGTCCTCCTTTAGAGCATTAGAATTAGCTACTTGCCATAGGGTATTACTAGATCTTCTTCTGAGAATATCATTTTAAAAGAATTCATTGTTATCTGTGTTTGTCTGCATCGATATGATTCTTGGGATGAGACCTTTTTGTTTGTTTGCAACAAAGCACAAAGTTGAGACTTTGAAAATTTGAAGAATAATGGAGGGCAAAATTGGCCACAAAAGGGTAATATTGGGTTTTAAAAAAAATCTATACGTCATGTGGTGTCACATATGAATGGATTATGATGGAACACTAACGAATGCTAATGGCAGGGGAGGATTTAGTCAATTGTCAAAAGAAGAAAAACAACCTTTTGAAAAGAAATGATTGTTTAGAAAGTTGCAAAAATTCAAAAGAAAGTAGCAGAAATCAGATTTCAAGAGGAAAGAAGAAGAAGAAGAAGGTGGCGACAACTAGGTTTCAGAGAGAGAGAGAATTTCAAACATAATCTCCTCTCTTACTCCCTTAATTCTATTTCATTAAGTTAAATTTTAGTAATTTACAGAGAGGCCCCTAGTTGGGCAGAAAATAAAAAAAAATATAACATAAGAAAGAATAAAGCCCAGATTAAGGCCCATTACAGCAAAGAACATAAAAGATAAAAAAGATAAACAGCCTATGGGCCATTCGGCCCATCTTCTCTACTCTCCCCCTCAAGTTGAGCATAGATGTCAATCATGCCAAGCTTGCCAGTATCATGCTGAAGTTTAGCCTTGGGAATGCCCTTGGTGAGGAAATTAGCTAACTGGCCTTCAAAGGTGATGAAAGGTGGACGCAGTTCTCCAGAAGCCACTATTTCTCGAATGAAGTGTCTGTCAACTTCAATAGGCTTAGTTCTGTCATGTTGCACTGGGTTGTGAGCAATGTTGATGGCGGCCTGATTATCACAGTATAACATCATTGGCTTATCATGCTCAATACCCAGTTCCTCCATCAAGGATTTAAGCCACAGTAGTTCAGAAACTCCATGAGCCATGACTCTGTATTCTGCTTC